GTGGGTAAGAAATCATAACATATTCTTAATGTCAAAACCCCACCCAAGCATGGATTTGAATTAGACTTTCTTCAGATTTTGGACTAAAAACTAACCTCTTGGGGGATTTCTGTAAGAATTTTGTGTCAAGTATACAATAAGTGGTGAAAATCCATGGTTTGGATCATAGGACCACATTGTAGAATGGGTCTCACAAGAAAAGAACGGCATTTTTTTTTTAGTTATTGGGACATTACATTGTTGCACAATATATAAGGTGTGTATTTTTATTATTTTATTGAAAAAAAAACATCATAGACCATGTCCTGTCCATCCTTAGTTCACCCTCCACTCATTCCGACACTTTGCCTCCATACCAGAAGCAACATACGAAGACAAGATTTTAAAAGCCAAAAGTCATGAGCAAAGGAAAAACTCCCAAATTTTAAATTTTCATTCTCCAACCTCGCCCCTTTGCCCTTTGCATCTCAGTGTCCCCAAAATAACTATAAACACAACCCAGAAACTTAAAGGGAAAACTAACAAGAACAAGAAGAAGACAAAAGAAAAAATATCAAGGAAAAATTTTAAATTTACGTATCTAATTTGAAAATGATATTTTTAATAGACCCTTTCATACTATTGATTTACGTATCTAAGTTAATGGACCCAGAAACTAAACCCTCATACCACAAGTTTGGTTTCTCAAGAATTTCAACAAGGAGAGAGAAGAAGGAGAACAAAGGAGGGTTTCAAGAGCGTGAAGAGTTAAGTGAAGGAGAAGGAAACTAACCTTACCACTTTTTCGCTGAGAAAACTAACTTCACCGTTAATTAAGGTAATAGAGGGATAAAACACGCCTTGTACATTGCGCAACAATTTAATGTTCCCAAGAACTCAATGAAGGAATTGCTTTTCTTTTTTCCCTTTTTTTTTTTTTTTTTTTTTTTGAAGCATGTAAACCTTCAGATGTTTTACATCTAACGGGTTAGAATATATGTTAAGACTTGTAAAGGCTTAACACCAGTTACTGAACATCCCAGTTGCAAGTGACAAGCAAGTGGGATATGGCACTGCGCATCTACCTATTCTCTATCTTAGAAGTCCTGCAGTAACACTGCTGGTAAAGGGATGATGAGACACCAAATTGCAATGTTCTTAGGATTGGTGAGAATGTTATTAGAACAGAAATACCATACCTGAGCTTCCAAATTCTCAAATTCTGCCAAAATATCCTCTTCATCTTCTGCTGATAATTTCTCCCCTAAGATTGCATTCATTTCCTATCAAAATTATCATAGAAATGGCAGAAATTATTAAAAAGAACAAATTAAGACAGAGAAGATGCTACACAAAAATGAAGCTAAAGTTTAGATGTCATCGTTGATTTATAATAAGCCCATTACAGCAATATGCACAAATGATGTGAAAAACACAGGAGCAGTGATTTTTTTATGAGATCACAGGAGCAACAAATAAAGTAGGTATCTCTCATCAAACAAAGAGGGGATGGAAAGTACGGCATTTACAAGGTGGCTGACCATAGCTTATAGATATGATCCTTTACATATGGCTTATTTTCAGTTCACCATTCCATGGTTACTTATACCATAGCATATATATATATATATATATATATATATGATCCCTTACATGTAATACATTTTTAAGAAAATCAATTCACAATGATCCATATGCAATTTTATTTGGAGACTGAAAACAAGAGCAGTATATAAGGGGTTAAACATGGTGCATTTTTATCGGAAACTCAAAACAAGGGCATGATATCCTCCACTTCCTGTGAGGAAAAGAGGAGGGAAACAAACTCAACCTAGAAATATTTCCACAACTCTTCATTTATAATAAAAAACAACAGCATTCCTAGCATTTAGTCTCCCATACCAAAGAAAGAGAAAAAGAAGGAAAACCTCAGATACTAAAGTACCCTTATAAGTGTCTAATACGAGAGAGAGAGAGAGAGAGAGAGAGAGAGAGAGAGAGAGAGAGAGAGAGAGAGAATATGAATTGGCACATAACCAACACCAGAAATTTTAATACTTAGTAGAAATAAATAAAAAAGCTTCACAAATGGCCAAAAAATGTTTCACAGAGAAGATCATTCTAAGAATGCAATCCAAGCAAGCTCAGTTGAAATACTAAATTTTGTAGTGCGCAATAAATAAATAAAAACCAACAAAATAAAAGAGAAGAAGTCAAGCTCACATCTTGGTAAGCTTTAGCTTCATCAGTATCATCCATTAGCTTTTGAACATCCTCAAGGTTGATCTCACTTTGTATGGCTTTAATCGCATTATTACCAGCCTTCAAACTCTCAAATACAGCTTGCTGCTTGCTTGTCAGTTCAATATCTAGCAACTGAACCAAAATGTATAGTGGAGTGTCAACATGTTTTTTTCTTGAAAAAATATCAACTTCTAAGTAGAGCAGAAACAAACAGAACTAAGTCATTACTTGCTCACATGCAGTAACAAAATCATAGCAATCTAGGCACAAATGTAAAAGTATTCAATGGGATGAAGTGTTCATAGGCTTAATTCTTACCAATGACCACAAAAGAGCAAACAAAATTGAAACAAACGAAAGAAGTTGCACGGTTGCGTTATATTACTCACCTGTTGCTCAACATTGATAACCCAGGTATCCACTTGCTTCAATAAGTCTTCTTGTGCTTTTTTCTTCTTTAATGCTAACAAAGCTCTTTCCTTTTTCTTTTCGCGAATCAAATCTCTTGCAGCTTGCTTTTCGGCTTCAATTACAGCTTCAAGCTGGAAAAGGTGGATAACAGAAATGGAACCAACATAAGAAATTATAACAAATGCTGTCAAAAATCATCTAGATATGTGAACCCAATTATTATCCTTCATCGAAAATTCAAAAGCTTATGCAAATTCACATCCTTAATAAAACTAATTTTCTCCACTTATCAAAAACAAACAAAAACAAACTTTTAAAACGCAAACTATGTTGACCATTTTCAACTGTTAATTTCCTGTTGCCCGTTTGAGATCAGAGCCACAGTTTTCCTTTTCTCAATATTACCACTGACTAACGAGAACATAAACCAAAATTTTACACAGAACCCACAACAGAAATTTTAAAAAAGAAAAATCGCAATTCACAAAACGTGAAAGTATTACGAGATAATTGAACATAAGGAAAAAAGAAATAGTAATAACTGCACCTGTTGTTGGTACTGAGCAAGCTTGCGTCTCTGAGTCTTGAGAGAGAGAATAGCTCGATCGACCTCGGTGATCTTGGGCTTCTTCACGAATAAATTCCCCATCTATTCGTATATCATATCGGGTTTGCCTTCAATATGAAGAATTATTATCGAATTGTAACTATATATCTTAGTATCATAAAAAAACTTTCTTCCAATAAACCAAACCCAAGATTGGGTTTGCTTCGAAACTAGACTTGAAGACGATGAAGAGGCTATTTTAGTCGGAGTCCTCCACACAGCAAAGCAAGTTGTGATGTTCGAATTTTGACCATAAAGGAACAATTTTCCTTTTTCTTTTTTTTTTTCTGTGTTTTTTTTGGGGGAAATTCACCTAAACATCGCGTAAACTTTTAAGCACGTGTTCTATTACACCTGAATTTTTTATTGTTATTTTTAACCACATGAACTTTGTAAATATTGCAATTCATTACCTATGTCACTTCTTTGTAATATCTGTTAAGTATAAGGGTATTTTCATCCTTTCCTTATAACTAAAAATAAATGTAAAAAAACAGAATTTTTATATATAAAGTTAACCTAATTATACCACCCCTTCTCCAACCCTTACCCCACCGTACTCTATATTTTTCCATCTCTTGGAATCTTGACGTGGGTTATTGAAATTGAATTGCAAATCCAGTTATAGACCAACCAAGCTCTAGCTTGCTAATGGAATTACAACCCATTTCTTATGTGACAACCCATACAACAAGGAAATTTAGGCTTAAATCTCTAACTAAAAAGACAAAGATTTGGAGATCATAGAAGGCTTAACTGCTTGGTTATTTTTATGTTTTTTTTCATTAACTTGCAGTTTATTATAGGCATGTCCATTATAAGGACTGCACTTGTTTTAGAACTAGTTTGCCAATGGCAAATGTTTATGAAATTTTTGGGATATTTAGCAAGAAGTATGTAATTGGAAGAAAGTGAAAGAGAAGTGTTTAAATTTTCTATCTTATAACTTCTTAATCGTCATACATTGCTTAAGTATATTCCTATTATTTTGTGTCAAAAAAAAAAAAGAGAAGAAGATATATTCTTATTATTATACAAATAATAAAGAAAGAGAATCATACATTGGGGTGGCTACTGGTCATGTGTTCCAAAATAAATTTTGGTTGAACACTGATGCATAGGGTGGATTAACAGTAATGACATCTTTCTTTATTTTTAAAAAAATTTATGTTTTTAAATTTTATTTTTAGTTATAAGGAACATATGAAAATACCTTTAAACTTAATGGAAAGTTTAACGGGGTTAAACATAAGTGGTGGATTGCAACACTTTACAAAGTTAAGGTCGTTAAAAATAAAAATTAAAAGTTAAGGTGGTATTGCCGCACTTACCTAAAAGGTCCGGTGGTATTTATGCAAATTTCCATTATAAAAAAATATCATATGTGCATACCTTGATTTAACGGAAACTTTAACAGAGTTTAATGTATGTGGTGAATTGTAACACTTTACAAAGTTTAGATGGTAAAAAATAAAAATAAAAAGTTTAGGTAGTAATAATGCACATACCCAGAAATTCAGGTGGTATTTATGCATATTTTATTATTATTATTATTTTTATAGTTTCAATTACAAACCTGTACACAGCACAAAGAGATGAGAGAGAAAGAGAATGAGAGAGAGAGAGAGAAGTTCCCAGCCCATTACACTCATATTTTTTTTTCTTCTTTTGGGCTCAGTGGGCCAATTACAAAGAAAAGCTGGGTGGAGCAACAGCCCAACGGCATAGGGTAAAAGTCACCGTTGGATTTGTTTTAAAATCATCCAACGGCATCGAACAGCTGTAAGCAAAACTTGACTGTCAATCGAGTAACTGATTAAGAAATATCATATGACAAAGTTACTTGTCAAATGGTAGTAGAGTACTTGTCAAGAATTGTCATATGTAAAAAGAAAAAAGAAAATATAAAAAAATAGAAAAAATTGTCAAATGTAAGGGAATGGAAGAGAGAAGTTAAGAAAACAAAGAGGTACAAACGTGGCAGATAAGAAACAGTCAACAAAAGTGCATGATAATAGAGGGGGAGAGGTGTGCAGCAAGAGAAGGAAATAGGATTCTATATAATCTGTCATGAAATTTGCCATAAAATCGCATCAACATACGTGATCAAAAAATACAATACTGTACATCGAAGAATCCATCCCATTTGATGTGTTTCCTTATGTAATTTGTTGGCTGGACAAGAAATCGTGGGGAAGAAGATCGAAGAGAAGGAAAGAAGAAGAAATTGAGTGGTTGAAGAATAAGTTGTTGTTTACCCCGAAAAGGACCCGTCGGCCATTCGTGTTGGCGTTTGGCCGTGGAGTTTGTTTGTTGCGATTGCGAAGGAGTGCCTCTATTGGCAGTGAAAAACTCCAACAGACTAAAAATTATAAGACTGGAAAATGCACACCGATATTGACTTTAATCAATTGATTGTGGATTGGGCGGGGAACTGACCCAATACAAGGTTCTTTTCTATGCCTCAATTAAGAGGACTTCAATATTCATCTAGCGTGAAAATGGTAACTAACAGAAGTTGAAATTGAACGATAATGGAAATTATAGAAGTTTATCGGAATATTTATCTATTCAGAAAACTTGAAAGAAAAAGGAAGTACATAAACAACACAGCCTGAAGATTTCTCTATTCATACCTAGTACATAAAATTAAAATGGAGATTGAAGATTTCTCTATTCAATCTTGTACAAGGAAATACCATACCAAGAGTTGGCAGAGCAAGATAAAGAAAATTCCTTAGGAGTTGTCAACTGGGAAATTCAAAGAACGAAAAAGGAAGGTTGTTTCAAGCTTTTGAGCTGGGTTTATAGACGTTGAGTCTGGTTTTTGTTTGTTGAGTGGTGTGTCCTTTGCTGATGATTTCTCCTTCAATATATAGAGATTGGAGGTCGTTGAGTGGACCAGCAATTAATTTGAAGTACCCACTTGCCATTGGTTTTGGTGAGTGGGTTGCTGAAAATATAAGTTAACCCAAAAAAGTTGCTAAGAGGCTTTGATGTGATTTGACAGAAGCTATCACTATTAGACTTAAAGAAATCCAAAGTATTAGTCCACTTGCTATTGATTGGTGAGTGAAAGCCAAAATTAGCTGGCTAAAAGATAAAAAAGAGGTGAAGAGATAATGACCATCATCTCTACTTCTTTTTTTATTCATTCTTTAAGCCCACTTGAATATTATTTTATTCTTCTTTCAACATTTGTGTAGACTTTTCACGTGTTGAACTTTGGCTTTGTTTTAATATTCTTCACAGAGAATATTAAATTTGTTTCCATCTACCACATCTTCGTTTTATTCTTCTTTGAATCAGCTCACATGTAATGAAGTCCCTCCATTGATAAAGTGAAACTTGATTTGCAGCCACTAAGTTTCTCCTCCGAACATGCCTTGATGCATAATGAACTGGGAATGCTAGATTGATCCAATTGCTGCAAATTTCGGATATGTTGTTCTCCACATAAGTAGGAACAACATTCATGAAGAACTTAATTCCATTTGAGCAATGGAAAATCTGATTTAGCATGGTTGCAACTGACTGGTCATCATACAAGCTCTCACGAATAGAGATCATGATTAGCGTTATGAAGATTCAATACTTGTGCAAATGATGCCAAATTCGGATATATTGTAGTAGACGTCCAAATGAACAACTTTCATGAAGAACAAATATTCATTTGAGGACTGGAAGCTGGCCCGAATTGGGCCATAATTAGGCCCGAATTGCCACTATTATCAGCTTTCACTGTTGCTGGTATGCTTCTGATGTTTGATGTCATGAGGATTCCACATTTATCCAAATGATCCCAACTTTGGATATGTTTCAGTATACATGTTGATGCTCTTTTTCGGAAAAGATCAACTTAAAGAGAAGTGGATTGTCTTTAGTAATGGAGAAGGTGAGGACCTTCGGTAAGGGGCTAGCCTGCAGAAGACAAAATAGGAGAAGCAGTCGTTAAGCCTCGAACACCGGTGTGGTGCCGGCCGAAGGCTTTTTGATGCTTAAGTCAGCTAAGAGGGGTAATTTTAGCAGAATAATAGTAAAAGGTAAGAAAGTAGTTTCCTTTTTTACTAGGGTATTGTTCCCTATTTATAGAGAAGTAAAAGTGGGAGGTTTGTGTAGATTTCTGATGTGGGACTTTGTGCAAGTTGATGTGGTGGTGACATGTGTTATGGAAATTAGGTTTAGCAATTGGGACCTTCAGCAGTCGGGAGTTTCGGCAGGTGCTTGGCACCTCGGAAGAGTGTCTTCCTTTGGCAGGGAAGAAGGCGTGTCTGCCTTGGTGCTAATTGTTTTGAGGCTGAATATGCTCAGTTGATTATGGTGTAAACACATTCTATTGAAAAACTTTCAAGAAGAAAGAAAATTCATTAGAGCATTGGAATTAGGCCCAAATTGGGCCCGAATTAGGCCTGAATTGCTGCTATAAGCTTTTTACTGGCGTTGTGCATCTGGTATTTTCGACTCTTAGGATTCAAAATTTGTCCGAATAAACCCAAATGTGGATATGTTGCAGTAGACATAGAGATGAACAACTTTCATGAAGAGCGAAACTTGATTTGAGCGCTGGAAGTTGAAGTTTTGGCCCACTCCATCTGATTGCAGCAATGCATGTCTAGCCTTATTTTGGCCATTTTGATGTTCATAGAAAACTATCTACCATTTTAGGCAAAAATACAAATTTTTGGTACAAACAGTTGTACAAATTTTTTAAGTTTAATTACGAGGAATAACATAATAGTTGGACTATGTAATGATATGTAATTTGATGAATATAATTTATATTAATTATAGAATTGACATAATCAATTTTTTTTCCTTATAAGATTGACATAATCAATATCTTATTTAATGAAGTATTCAAAAAAAATTAAGTAACATAAATAATATTAATTATAGACTAAATATTTATGAGAGATATACTTAAATCGTAGTTCCAATGTGTGTGGGCCTGACAAGTTTGCGCTACATCAGGTACAAATCAATCGGGTTGAAGATGGCCATCGACACATATATCATGGAAGTCAGATCAAAGATGACCTAGGACACATCATCTTTCATACTAGTCCCAACAATTTGTAGCAAAACTACTAACCCGGAAACCACAATACCCTTAATGAACAAGGACAAAGTTAGAAATCGTTTAGCACAAAGTCATATTACTACTATTACATTTGTTAATACAAGTTACCGAATATAGATAACAAGCAAGTTTCCAATTCATGCCTAGCATCCAAGACCCTATTGATTTGCCCTCAAGTGCCACTGCCACTACCATATTAATCAATGACCCCATCACACATATGAGTGTCATAAGCGAAAGAGATGCTTCAGAAGTGTTACCCTAATAAAGACACAAGGAAGAGAATGAGAAAGACTTTAGAAGATGAGACCTATGAAATTGAGTTGTAAAGACTCGGGCCTTATTGACCAAAAAAAAAAAAAAGATTCGGCCTTAGTTCCTAAGAAGGAAGTCAAGTTACATTATTCTCTAAGTTCAAAGTTTTTAATGTAAATGCTTTTCAACATGGCATTTATTTCTAGATTGTTTACTCTCGTAGATTTGATAGTTTTGTTGAGATACTTTTTAGCAATTATATAAGTGCATAATAGTATAATATAGGTATGCAAGGAAGAAAATTACCAAAAGATTGTTGTAAGTTGTTGATGCAGTCACGAGAACCACCAAAAGTAATGGGCCCCGAACCCAATTCTCTACCAACTGGTGATCAACTAATGCATAGTTGCTTGCATTAGGGGATCTTGTTGTGATCGCCGGCTCATTGTACAAACCAACAAAAAAAATACACCGCCAACCACTAAGGTTAAACCAAACAATCTAACTTGCATTATAACCAAAGACCGTACTTACATTCACTATGAGTTTATTTCTAAAGTACATTCTAAAGTTAAACTAGAGATACAATTTCTAACTTAAAATTAACATAATATACATATTAATTTCTTGAGGCCCAAAAAATCTCAAGGAAGGTTCGTGCATATTTTTAGACCTAATTTATTACCGTGCTATAAAAGGGACATAGAGACCCATCAAATACGGCTATGAAGTGCCTAAACAAGCTTTGATATTCGCACCATGCCAAGCGAGACTAGAATTTGGCACGTGGGGAGGTCATGATACGGGTTTACCAATTTCACATGCAAACCTATAAAGTTTAACAATGTCACATGCTCGAGCTCACCTAGCCCACTTCTTCGTCAAGCATTATCTAACACAACCCTAAACCACGGCTATACAACGTAGCCCAAGCATAAGCACGAAAAACATGCCATGCCAAGTGACTCCCTTTAGTGCCAAACCACCCGACAAGCTTAAGTGGGCCTAACCCACATACAAGTCTGGAGCTTACTGAGCAAGTTGTGGTGTGGATGGGTATGAGGGTCCATAAGGCCCATTAAGGGTTCAAACGGTGGAGGTTTTGGGCTGCTTAGGAGCACCAAAACCCAAGCCCACTTTCTTGAGCCCAACACATGGGTAAGTAAGAGAAATTCTAGTACCCTTTCCCTTGAGATCAGACTAGCCTTGCATATTCAAACCGAAACCCTTAAAATCCAGTTTATATAAATATCTAGGCTGATGAAAGAGATAAGCCTCAACCTTTCTGTTTGACCATCACCTTTACCCATCTTTGCCTATATGAGCTCACGAAAGAAAAGAGAAAGGAAAGCCAAGCTGGAGCAAGGACAATAAAGCTGGAGTGTTCTAGGAAAGGAAGCCTCTACAAGGTCCAGCTGTAAGAAGGCTTTGGGGCACCAAAATGTTTTGTCTCAATAGCCATGGATTCAACTGATTT